GCTAATGTCAGAAAATGCAGGCAAACATGCCTGTCAGGGTTTTTCGTCTTCCAGATTTTCAAGGAAATTTTTTCCCTCTTTTACATAGGTTCACCATGTCGTCCCATTTGCAGTGGATGGTCATCAGGAACTGCTCCAGCTTCCTCATCAAGAGGAACGGACAGACCTACAGCACTGTGAGTACAAAACCTGCTCTGAAGAACCTGACCAAACGTGCGATTACGCACCCAGAAAGTTTGCTTTAGTACTGAAACTGAGTTTGAGCAGTGATGTACAGTGTGGTATGGTAGGGACACAAATAACTTAGACTTGAAACACGGATCCCAGGCTTTGTACATTACCTTAACATACTAACAAAACATTGCAAGACAATCTGTTGTTAGTGTTTGAGAATTGCATATTAGCTGAGCTGACAGGATATGCCACATAGGCTTGGACTGTATCTGTGTTTGTGACATAATTCTGGCTAAAGATGTGAGATTAGTTGAAGGTGGCACTGGAAATGCTAGTTGGCTGGCATCCGTAAATATTTATATTGCTGAAGATCAAATTGTTGAGATTTTTAAATGTCCTGGTAACGTTTATTAAAATATACCGCATTACCTCCCTAGCCTAACAGCAGGATCAGGCAAGATAATTAAATAAATGCATGCCAGTGATCTGAATGTCTTTGTTTTGTGACAGGAGCCCAACAACCTGAAGGCCAGGAACTCTTTCCGCTTCAATGGGTTGGTGCACAAGAAGACTGTAGGTGTGCAGCCTGCAGCCGACGGCAAGGGTGTCGTCGTAGTGCTGAAGAAGCGTGCAGGTAAATGAGTACTGCTGGTTCATTAACGTTTGAGTAATAGTATTGTCCAGACTCAGACTGGACAAATGATCCTCTCTTCAGTAACTTTAAGGAATATTTGAACACAAATATTTGAAATGCTCCTTATGCATCAGATAGCAGCAACGTTTATGTCATCTATGGATGCCTAATAAATTTCTGTTAGTGGGGGAAGGAAGTTGTTAAAATTTATAACTAGATACACTATTTTGTGTTGTACAGTGAGATATGACAAGGATGACAACTGCAGAAGTATTAGATTCTGCATATTGTATATATCACAGTATACAGAAATATGTAGTTTTCTTCTTGGAAAATCCATATTTTTGGATCATTGGATACATTTGATGCTCATTTTGTTCTCTTGATGCGCAGGCCAGAACAAACCTGCCAACTCCTACGTCAAGGTCACCATCAACAAGAATTCCCGTGCCACCCTCAACAGCTTGAGGCACATCATTCGCAAGAACAAATACAGGAAGGACCTGCGTATGGTGAGCTTAATCTGTGGTTTTGGGGAGGCTGAAACTTCAAATAGCTGGCATTTTTGTTTGTGTCAAAGTTTAAGAACAACATTTAAGTCTCATTTGTTTCCCCAGGCTGCCCTGCGTCGTGCCAGCGCTATCCTGAAGAGCCAGAAGCCTGTTGTGGTCAAAAAGAAGCGCACCAGGGCTGCCAAGACCGCATAAACTCATTCACATGATAAATAAATAAAAGGCTTTTTGTTTGGAAAAAACACTACAGTGTCCTGAGTCTTCAATTTTGAGCATGAGCTTCTTTAGATCAGTGATCTGCGCAGGTATCCGATGTGGTTACATTTTTAAAGCAGTGTTTGTGTCTGAGGAATTGATGGACATAAATGGATATTTTTCTTCCTCACAATAATTTGTTTTTTCTCAAGTGATAATTCACTTCCACGAGTCTGAAAACAGTCCTGATGAGCTGTGTGTATGGAAGCAGAAAGAAAAGTTACATGTTACTTTTGACAGGTGTGCAGTTTCCTTGTGACAGCCATTAGTTTCAGGCTTGAGCTTTAGATGCTGCTGCTACTGAGAGTTTACTTAAAAGCTACAGCAGTGTTTTGTATGTTAATGAATAGGGAGTACCTCCTCCTGAACTCCCTGCTCTGATGATCCGTTGTTATCATAGATCGTATTTGTATTTGAGGACGATCACACTGAAGCAATCTGCTTCTGCTACTGCACTTAGTGATACGGAAACATTGGATTGATTTAAAAGCAGCCCACTGGCAGCTTTCCACCCATGGCTTTGGAAAGAAAGAACCATTGTCACCCCCACCCCTGCCGTGTTTAAGCTGACAATATCTGCACCGACCATTTATTCCTGTCTTCACCTGTGACAAGGATCGCTGGGTTACTGTGAAGATGTGACAGAAGCTTTGTGCTGCAGTCGCTATGAGGACACTAAGGCTTTTGCTGGTAACCCTGACGCTGCTGGTGCTGGAAAGTCAGGGTTTTGAACTGCAGGATACGATCCATGCTCTGATAGAGGAGAACATCCACCTCCATGACCAGCTGGAGAACCTCACCAAGGCCCTCAGAGAGCTCAAACGGATGCTGTGGCTTCACTCAAATGGTACAGAGTCCTCTTTATGTTATCTGTAAATACAGGTGGGCAGGCTGAGCTTGGTTTTGGTTTTTAATAAAAAGAACTCAAAACGATGATGGTTAAGATGAAATAAATAATTTATAATGTTCTTTAAATTAAAAATCCACAGTGCAAGAAAATAATTCAAATGGGAAATAAAATCTTCACGATTGTGTTTAATTCTGATCTTTTTCTTTGTTACAAAAGTCTTTTTTATATCTTTAGTGTCTCCTACTCCATATTTCACTGCACATATTCTTGTATGGTACACAAAAACAACATCTTTGAGCTGAAATGAGAAACAATCGCACAAAAGCTGATTTTGAGACAGTGTATAGGGATGAAATGTTGGCGTCCAAGGTCAAAACAGCTTTTCCCCTTTCATTTACTCTTCATGTTCTGTATGTTTTAATCCTCTCCCGGCTCTTTGTGTTAACTCGTGCACTCTCTGCATACTCACGCACTTCAGGGCTCGATTAGGATGCAGGATGTTTTGCATTTTTTTCATATAGTCTGTGCTGTTTGCAGAATAAAAGATATTAACAGAGCAGTTCTCTGTTTTTGATACAGACCCAGATCATCACCATGAACATCATGATGAAGATGTCCAGCATCTGTGGGACGAATGGTCAGAACATGGTGTGTATGTCTGCAGCTGGCTGAAACTACTCCCGTGACTTCACAGAGCTGTGCTCACTGCATTAGTTTGCATTGATTTCATGGCTGTGTGGACAGCAGAGGGTTAATGAGTTGCACTTTGGGATAAACCAGCTGCCTAATGCACATCCCAGCTGACAAAGTGTGACAGAATTTGTCCTTTCCTGGCAGGTATCAGTGCAGAAACCCACCTCCTGCTGGAAAACACCTTTTGTGGGCATGACCTGCATGGCTCAGCAGCTCCTCTCCACGGACACGGAGCACACCTCATACGCCTGCTGCTGCTGCTGCTAATAATGAGATGCTTGTAGGCTGCAGCAGTCTGATGTCAGAAAAGTAGAGTCAGCGCCTCATGGCCGCTGCAGGCTGTATTGTCCAATTTAATATGGTTGAACAGCGAGTGTCGATGCCACCGCTCTTCCTGTTCAGAGGAATTATTGAGCCGACAAGATTTGAAGAGTTGACCCGTCAATCCTGTGTACAAATCACCCCTGGGGAGGATTCACTGGAGCGAAATGTTAATGTGGGTGTAGAGAAAGCAGACTGAGAGCAGGTTAAACACAGGGAGTTGCCTTACTTTTTAGCCATTTATTGTATTAATGAATTACAATAAATGTTTATAACTAAGCTGAACTCAGAAAGTTGGTTTTTGTAACTCTAAATGAAAATGCTGTTAACTTTACTGAAAAATAAGCTAACTGCTAATTTTTGTGTTTGCCTGAGTACAGCTGAAGCCACTTTACCTGCTATAAAATGAAACAATAGTTTTGTTTTGTTTTTAAATTGGAAAGAATTAAGTAATGAAATAGAAATAATTACTGAAATATCAATGAATTTATTTGAAAAGATGTAATAGATTATTTCCAATTTGAAATAGTTAATTACTGAAATGTGTAACTTATTATTTAATTACTTATTTAATTCATTTTGGTACGTACCCTTCAACTGAACCGTTATCAAAAAGGAGCGGGATCTTTTGCGAGATCTCGCAAAGGTTTTGCGAGATCCCGAGTTAGTTTTGCGAGATCTCGCAAAAGTCCGTCTTAATTTTTTTTGCTCCCATGTCCCCTGCGAGGCTCCGTATTTTGGCACTCTTGACCCTCCAGTTTCAACAACACTAGTTATCATTCAGGTGTTTTCACCTTAAACACTTCTACCCCAACGCTTTACGTTGTTCACCAGTTCCTGTTTTAAAAACAATCAAATGTTAAAGCAGCCAAAGTCATTTTTTCAGTTTAACCACTTGTTAGTCATCTTGAAATGCCTCCAGGCACTTTTCTTTTAAGCAATATGTAAATATCACCAGCACATTGGTAATTATTATTGCAATCACCTGATTACCCGTTTTAAAAAAATAAAATAGTTTGTTTACCTCTTTGCAAGTTACGCTCCATCACAAGCTTGATAGAGGACTTTTAGAATTCATTTAGTTCAGGACACTTTTAGTGCCACCCCTTCTTTTTATGTAAGAAAGCACATCGAATTTAAATTCCTCACATAAAACATCCTGAATAATCAGGTCCCATCTTATCTTAAAGACCTCCCATGATGCAATGAGTGTTTCTTCTTCACTCACCTCTTTAATCATTAGTTTTTACTAACCTCTGGCCCTCTTCCACAGTGTTTCTTTCATCCCGTCTCCCTCCCCTCACCCGCTTGCAGCAGATGGCTGATTCAGCCTGAGCCTGGAGGTTTCTTCCTGTTGAAAGGGAGTTTTTCCTTCCCACTGTCACCAAGTGATCGCTCATAACTGCTTGTTGGGGCTTCTCGTTCTAACATTGCAGGGTCTTTAACTTACAATATAAAGGCAGATTTTGGCACTACAACAGTACAACTGAATTAAACTGAATAATGTTGATGATGCAGTTTAAACTTTGCACAGATTCCAGCAAATAAAAAGACAACAAAATACCAAGTCCAAACACTTTACACTTTATTGTCCTGACTATTTGATATGGTGGAGCACATATAAAAGTTAGAAAATTAACTAATAGTTAGATTGGCCCAAAGGTTTTCTATTCTACACAGTGAAGCACATGAATACACGGCAATGTGATTTAATACAATAAATAGGTAAAGCTGTCAGCTCAAACAAAACATAAAACATCTACAGTATTCTGAAACCCTCTGATAATAATATTTACACTCATCAAATAACTCATATTTACTATGGAATGATAGGATGAAATGCACTAAGTTGTGGTGTCTGCACTCACTTTTGGTTCTGCTTTAATGCTGGTTGTGTGCGGCTGCGTGAGTGGTGAGGTGTCAGTCAAGGCTCGCTCTGTTGCTACAGAGGGGCCACATATGTGTACACAGTTTTCCCAAGCATATCATACATGTTAGAAGCTATGGCTCTAGTCTATATCAAGGTCAGAGTCCTCGTCGCTCACAGTGCTCTGTATGATGGCTCCGTTGCGAACCATCTTTGGGACGACAGGAGGCTTTTCGGGCAGCAAGCCGTACTCCTGCAGCAGGGCCTCCAGGTCTACGGCAAAGAAGTCTTCCCCGAGCTGATCTGTGAGCCGCACAAAGTTGCCGATCAGGTCCCCGGCTTTGTAAACGAGCAGAGCAGGCAGAGCGCTGTCTCTGAACAGTGCGCTGGTGCTGATGGCTGAGCTGCGCACGCTGCAGAACTTGACCAGCGGGTATTCCTGAGCTAGACACATCAGGCTGCCGCTCATGGCCTCGCAGCCCGGGACGTCCGGCTCGTAGATGTGGATCATGACCAGGGTGCTTTTGTCCTCTTTGTCTAAAGCCTCTAAGAACTCCTCCCCACTGTTTAGCTCGTAGACCTGCTCAAAACGCTTGCCGCGGCACAGCTGGCGCCGCATCTCTTCGATGCGCTGCATGCGGTAATGCTGGAGGAATTCTTCATCATCCTCTTCTTCCTGAAGCATGTTGTACTCCTGCATGGTCATCTGTGAAGCAGACAGGAATGAACACACAAAATCAGAGGAGTGTGTGCAACACAATTCGCGCTTCTTTGTATTCTTTGAATATGAATCTACAGTCAGGAGAAAGTGGACTTGGGACAAAAACTGGAATAAACTAGACGGAGTTTTATTCATTAAAGAAAAAAAGCAAAAGCATCTTGAGCCTATTGAGTATATGATGTATGTTGTTTGTTCCATACACAAATACAATCAATGGTGCATAGTCTAGAAAATAGAAGTTTTTTTTGTTTTACCATGTTCACGCTGTCCTTGATAATCAGCTCTTTGCCTACATTTACCCCAGGAGGGATGCCACTGATCAGCAACAATAGGTCTGAGCTAAACGAGGGTTTTCAGAGGTCTTTCATGTGTCTTCTGTTAGTCTGATTTACTTACTTTGCCTTGGATTTTTTCCTGAAGTGCCTTCTGTTTCTCTTGGTCTTTTTCCTGGTCGAGGTTAGAGCGGCATGTCATCGCCAGCTTCTTGATCAGTCTTTCCATCTCCTTCTTCTGCTCTTGTTTCTGCTCCACCTCAAGCTGCTTGTACTTCCTCCAGTCATTGATCACACCCTTGGGCCCTGACACAGAACAGCCACTGTTACCATAACACACTCTATATTCTTATGACACAGATGAAAGATCGATTAAAGTCAAACACAAGGATGGCTTAAAAATGAGGGAAGCTCAACATTTTTCAAGTTTCTGACATTTTTATTTGTCAAAAATAACCATATAATTTATTTAGATGTCATTTTGTGAATGCACTACATCTGTTTGTACAACCTGTGTTCACAGCACTTCCATCTGCGCTGTAGTCTATCTCAGGTTCGGTGACTTCAGCATCCCTGATGGTCTTGTTCTCCCCATCCTCATCATCATTGTCGCTGCCTTCATCCTCACTGCTGCTGTAGTAATACTGCAGCTTCTCTCCCAGGATCTTGTCATCCAGAGTAGTCATGATGACGGCTCACCTGTGGGAAGCAGTATGAACTAGTTTAATAATGAATAATAAGCACACAATAAAACGACTCCGAGATATTAAATACTTTACAACCAAATTTCCCCTTGTGGGACAATTAAAGGATTATTCTATTCTATTCTAACCTCACTGATAAAAATCTGGATAAATCGGATAAAAAACGCGTTCATTGCTTAATAGTCCAGTATAGTGCTGTATAATCCAGACAGATAAACACAGCCAGGAAAGGCTTATGTACATAAAATAGGCCACACACTATACATAGCTTAGAGTAAGTGTGCCAGTTTATTAAACTTAAGCTAAGAGGCCTTTTGTGATGCACCGATCCGTATGTAAGAGAGCCGGTGTGTACAGATGGGCAGACGGGGAGAGAGACATTCCTCACACGGCCCTCTTACTTATGACAGCATACATAATATGAGGCATGAATCGGTACTGTGCTGCTCTTTTGTTCGCGTCGGACGCTTTATTATTGTCCCAGCACAGCAGCTGACAGCGAAGACAACAGCTAACGAGAGTTGATCTGAGAGCCTCTGCCGATGTTGAGACAGATAGCTCTACCATTTACATTCACTACTGCTGTTATTTCAGTACATGCGCCGCACTGAAAAGAAAATGGCGACAATCCAATTAGCTTGTTTATGTAAGAAGGACGCGGGCCGAACAGCTGGTGGTTCGGGTGTTTGTAGAAAGTAAGGTGGTTAGCATTAGCTACATGGGTTAGCTACTTCTCATATGCTGACTTCCTGGGAGTCCGCGGCAGCCATTACCCGAGATTGCGTTAAAATGAAGCCGACTCCTACATCATATATTGCATTAAAACGACACAATACATTCGCTGCTTGTAACCACCCGTCTTCTTACCTCAATTTAATAACCGGCTCGCTGTCTGCCCGAGCTTAATCCACTAGTTCAGCCGCCTCAAGCCGCTCTTCCAAACACACGTGATGCCTTCAGGGTTCTCTGACGTGTCGTAATAATGATTCGAGTTTAAAGAGAATCGGAATGAAGTCGAAGCTGCAGCCAGTTTAAACTGCATCCTGTCTGTTATGTGGACACGCTGAAACTCACCTCTCCAATAATTGTAACGAAACAATTTTATTTTCTATAGCTTTGCAAACAATTGCAGCACGTGAGTATTTAATTTACTTATACGCTTAAGAAATGACGTAATCAAGCAGTAGAAGATCCGAACTGCTTTCTAAATAGTTAGTTATGATACTGTTTCCATCCAAACTAATATGTCAACCCACTGTGGTGACACTGTAATATTTAGTTTTGACTTTATTGTGAGTTTGGACTTTACCGAGGGCGCCTAAAGACAACACACGAGGTGCGGGAATATGGGAAGTTGCTGGAAGATAAACTATGCAACTCCCTATTTCACCACTAGAGGGCAATATGAGTACAAAAAAGAGTGCTGCTATGGCTTCTACAATCAGTGCCAAGCTAAATATTTTGACTTTATCGTTCCTTCTTCCTTTTAAATATTTTTCACAAAAGCTGTCTGAAATCAGTGAAAAGATACGGGTTTGCATTCCAATGTTTATATAAACAATTACACAATGCAAATCATCTGAAAAGACTAATAGCAGGTACATACAGACTGTATATTTGTTTTTTCCGGACATATATAATCCCATATGTATGTGTGCAGAAGTGCATATAGCAAGAACACATGTTTTAAACTATGAAGCAAGGGCAATTTAGTTATATGTGTATTTTAAACCACGCTGTGCACCCTGGTTATTAAAAAAAAAAGAAAAGAAAGAAAGAAAAAAGAAAACTTGCACAGTTACATAGCACTGGGCAGGTCTCTCTCATCAGCTATCATTGGTGTTCAACTTTAAGCCAAAGAATACACTGGTTTTATGAGATGCAATGGGTGAGTAATGTGGGTGGGGTACAAACAGTCATGAGAGATAATGATCATTGGATCGTAAATAATGTTGAAGCCTGAGTCAGTTTGAATGAACGGGCAGTTTTATTTCAGTCTTTATGCTGAACTGCAATGAGATCTTTCAAAATAATTCTGCAGACAGTACAAATGTTTACTGATGGACAGTGCGAACAGGTATTGTGATCATTTCAGTTTTCGGACACAAGTTTTATTTACAAAAAAACATGTTTATTCCTCATGTATTTGTGTTCAAGTGTATGAGACAGTGAGCAAAATAAAGGAAAAGGCATATTTGATTTCATTCTGAGCTCTTGATTCCTGTGTGACTCTCCAGTGCTGTTCAAACAAGCATTACTGATGTTTTCCAAGCAAACATCTGTAACACTAATTTTTTAAAATTGTTTTATTTAGCAGACGCCTCTTTTACCTTCATATAATGATCTTACAAAAACAAAACAACCTTCTGATGTCTGCAAAGGTTACAGCTCGTCAGTCTGCGCTCTGTCACCTTCTCGCCCATGTTCTTGCTTCTCTTCTGCTGGTACTCTAAATGACACGTAAGGACACGTTCTGGTGTTTTGACACACCAGCTTCTTGAGTGTGGCAGAGTTTACTATTTCAAAGCCCACCTTTCCTCCAAAGGTGCTGGGCTTCCAGTATTCCGGAGAGCATATAGGGTTTCCCAGGAGGCCTTTAAGGGAGAAGGGGGCACCCATCTCCACCATGCTTTCTCCAAATATGGCCCCCGCTCGTGTTTTCTCCAACAACAAGCCGGGGTAAAATTCCAGAGCGTCAATGTCACCGTAGAGCTCTTCGAGGTCTCGTGCTATCTCCTCATTATCTGCAAAAAGTGACCAAATATGTCAAATAGGATGTTTATAAAGCAGGTCATCGACATCATTACAGTACAGATTTTTACAGATAATATTTGCAGGTTTTAAACCATACTGCTGCAAGTATGGCAGATCAGTTCAGCACAGGGAGGTTTTCTACAGAGCTACTCCGATAGAGTGAGACACACTGCTGTGAAATTTTACGACCAGGTGATGAAGTCTTCTCCCGGCTTTGATTTTATTTTGTAGGCCTACTGCTGCTTCTTCAAGGGGTCCAATCAGCAGCTACTGAATTCACTGACTATGGGTTAAAACACCTCTTTCGTGGATTTTCAGGCTCAATGAACTATCACAGTCTTTCTCCATCTTCATCACAGAGTCACTGGAGTTGTAAGCTCTTTGAAAATCTCTCTATGTCAGGGAGCTGCATGATGTGAATCGGCACATGACTGCTTAAGATGGACACTCAGTGGAGTTTGTGACATGTAAATAGAGACTCTGATGCATATGCATTCCCTCGCTACCCTTCAGAGGACAGCAGAGGGAAGAAAATAACTTTGACAAAACCAGTGCTTTAAAAATTGCTCCAAAAAGAGAGCAGATGCCATTAATTCCAGGAGTGTCCGTCCAGCTGTTTGCGTGGACTTGCGTAAAATTTGTGCCATGTGAGCTAGACACAGAATCATTTGCCTTACCGGTGAATTCCCTGAATGACGTGTACGGCGTGAGGTTAAAGCGCTTCCTGTACTGGTTGAAAGACTGGAGGCGAAGTTCACGGGACTCCTTGATGGCCCCAACGGCTACTTGGGTGACCATCGCATTGATGTTGTGCCCACCACCAATCTGTGGGTCAACAGTGGGAGAAGTAAGTAACCAATATGGAGTGACCTCAGTCAAAATACTTCCTGTGAGAAGTTAGGTACAAAGTGACTGAAACACATGGCTTACTGCAGAAGTCTGCACAAGCCTCAGCTTATCAGTACAAAAACAAGCTGTCAGCGTGCGATCACATTATATCACTCGCAGAGTATGATAAAGCAAAACAGGAAAACTTTGTGTGACTGCCAGAAATCCCTAAACATGGATCACTGAATTGTGCAACACTTCAGTTGCTGATGGTTACAAAGCGAGTTATAAAAAACAGACGTCCAAACAACTCTAACTTGTAAAAATGCACCATAACTGTGTGTTACAATTATACAACATGTGCCGTTTGCTACCTGCCCAGCAATTTGCCTGGAGAAGGAATCCACGAGGGCCTCCACGCCGTAGTGCGTCAGAACAGACGTGTTGAAGAGAAACTGTTTGTATGACAGCTCGTCCCCATTTATTAAGAAGCTGTCAGGCATCAAAGGGTGCCAGTGGTAGAGCTGGCTGAACTCCAGAGCGATACGGTTGCTGTACTGGAACTGAGAGCCGAACAGCAGGGTGGGATCGAACTTGAGTTGGAGCAGGTATCCGCTGAGGTGCTGCACGTAATCTTCTATCACGATTCGTATGGTCTCGCCTTCGAGAAGCAAAGGGATTAAAGAAAAATGCACCAAGCAGACAGTGGGCTCGACCTCAAGTTAAACAAACAAAGTTTACCAAAAAAACAATACATAATTAAATGCAAGAGTTTAGTGTAAAGAACAGGCTCTGGCTACACCTGTGCAGAATTCAGTGGTTGCTTAAGGCAAAAGACTGCTTGTTATTTCCCCAAATGATCACCACAGCAGATGTTTTTCAATTAGGCACAGATTTTATGCCAGATGTTCTCCCTGATGCAACCTTCATATTTATCTTGACTCTAGACCAGTACTAGAAGTACACCATCTTATGACCCACTTGAGGCTGGGTTTGAGTCTGTTCCCGACATCAAACGGAGGCTCTTTCCTGTGTAAGGCAAACGTATTAACCACTACACCACGCAGATGCTGGTAAGGAACAAAAGTCTGGCTCAAACTTTCAAAAAAGAAAAAAAAAGAAGTCATTTTTAAACCAAATTTAGTATAAAATCCAACATGTTTTGCTAAATTTTATTTAAACTAGTTAACTTGTTATTAGAAAAAGCAGTGAACTGTCACATGTCCTAGCCACTTGCACTAAACACTTGAAGTCTTCAGTTGCTGCTCAGAACAGAGGAGCAATGCCAGGCTCACTGTTCCTTTTGAACTGTGTCTAACTCACCGATAATAATGAGCCGTGTGGTCTGGAAAAGCTGCTCATCGTCCCAGGTGGGATGCTCCGCTTTCAATATATCACAGACTCGGTTGTGCTCCCTCAGCCACAGCGTGGCGTACATTCCCAAACCAGGGAGAAGTCCATAGACTTCCTGACCGATAGCCATCTGAGCCTCAGCGGGGACTCCGGGAGGGTAGCTCATTCGAACAGATGCATCAGCAACACTGGGAGGGTACATCTCTCCATCAATTAACTGACCGGACAGAAAAAGAAAGAATGATGATACAAGTCACTGTCATCTGTAATTCACAATGTTAATGAAGATCAAGTATTTCCTTTTAAAAAGAACTGCAGAACTGACAGTTGTCCTTCTAAATCAGCATGTACACTCACTGGCTGCTTCATTAGCTACACCCTGCTAGTACCAGGTTGGACCAATAGAACCAACAGAAGACGGGTACACTGTGGTGATAAAGGGATGAACATACACAGCAACAATACTCAGGTAGGCTGTGGTGTTTAAATGATGCTCAGTTGGTTCTAAGAGGCCCAATGTTTGCCAAGAAAAATATCCCTCACACCAGCAGCAGCCGTTGATACAAGCCAGGATCTGTCCATGTTTTCACAAAGTCTTTGTAAACATCTGCATACTGCAGGTGAAATTGAGCACTCTTCTATTACTCAATTTTGGTGAGCCCACACGAACTGCAGGCATCCAAAACAAACAACCACGCCACGTTCAAAATGACTTACACCACCTTTTGTCCCCACCCTGATGCTCTCTTTTAACTTCAGCAGTTCAACATGTTGTTACAAACCGGGTTGAACACAAAAGGAGATGCACACAAATTCCACTTAAAAACATATTTATCTTAAATGAGGGAAACAAGGAGAGAGCTTCAGCTAACCGTGGTGTGTGTAATCAGTACAATCAGTACAGTGCAATTGAGCTCGGAGGGTTTTTATCGAGCACCACTGATTGGATGCAAGCTACTTCACTTCTCTGACATCTGCTGATGAGCCCTGCCACACAACGGGCTGAAATGAAAGCAGGTTGAAGTCGATTATCACGTGTCGGATGTCTGCAAGCAGTGATTGCAGCTATGTGATTGGCTGATTAGATGACTTAAGTGGCAGTTGAACAGGCATCCCTAATAAAGCACTCAGATATAAGTCTGCAAATGACTTTACCTGATATTTCAGCTTTCCATCTTTGAGAAGCCTGAGGTTTAGCTGACGATCCAGGCTGTCTCCATAAATGTGTCCTGCGTCCACCTGTTTGAGTCGCAGGAGAGAACGAAAAAAGCATCAGAGGTGTAATTGTACAAAGCCGCTGCTACTTCATCTGGAGTTACCCTCCAACTTCCACCAAGCTCCAGCTTCATAATGTATATTATACTGCTAAAATTTAACAAAAAGACAGAATCAAGACTAGAAGTTTCCCTCTGCTCTTATGCTATGTATATAACACTAACTCTTTAATAAAGCTAATGTGCTGCACTCCAAAGATCAGGATGGACTGACCCCGTGGCCGACAGCCTTAGTGAAGCCGAGGCCCATGCGATTGAAGGTCTTAAAGAACTGGTGGGTGAAGTGCTGCGCGAAGAAGGCGAACATGAGGCTGGTGCGCTGGGGATCGGGTCGGAACGTCGTTCTCTTCAGAAGCCTCTCAACCAACACCTCAGGGTCAGGTAGCTCAGCCTTGCCTGAAGAGAAACACCACAGCATCACCCGATACACCTCAAGCCATAATACTGAAGCTCTGACACAGCTGACATGTTAAACTGTACTGCTGCGCAGTCCAAGGTCAAGATATGGATAAAAGATCCTAAACAATCTTAAACTACACTCTATGCATAAAAATGTGGATTTAAATTTGGAACTATGTGAGCTTACATTTGATGCCAGTATTTGTTGTCAGATGTTTAAATTTATACTGTTAATCAACAGAATCATCAACCATCATTTGACAAAAGACATTTAAATGAGCAATAGCAGACACTGGCCTCTTGGGGGCAGTATAACAAAAATAACAAGGGATTCTAAACCATGACTAGCAAAGTTTGATTCATGTTGAGTCATGTTTCAGTCCGCTTGTTGGGTGTCGATTTGGTATTCACTTTCTATCACACTCCCCTAATTACAAAATGTGGCTCCTTGGAAGCTAACCTTTCACCCCCAAAGGTGTGGGGCAGTCCTTGGGCACCGGGGGCAGAAGTCGAGTGTAGTAGCTCAGATTATAGTAGGATTCCCAGCTGAGGTAGTCATACTTGGAGTTGAAGGTTGGAGGGCTGGGAATTAAGTTTGACCTCACTGTTGGTACAAAAAAAAAAATGTATCAGATACACAGAACGTGTAAAAAACATCCAGAATGAATTTCTCTACAATGAGTTTGCTGACTCTGGACCTGTTAACACCAGCCGCATGAGGACGTCCCGCAGGAAAGTGTGGTTGATGATGTCCCAGAGCCAGTGGAAGTGGGTGAGAATGTAGTGCACCACACCTGGGTTGGGCCTGAAAAACTGACGCACTCGGGTCCAAAGCTCGGCTGGAATGGAAGAACATCACGAGACACGGTCTTGTTATTACTGGAAGTCACGGCAATGGGGATCTGGAAATCTACTCTAAATAACAAAGTCGTTATGTCATTATGGAGCAGGACACTTGGCAGGCATGGTCCTGCTTTTAAAACCAGGATCAAGACTTCTGAATTGCCACCCACACCTCTGGAGTCGGTGGATTGCTGAATGAAGTGAAATATAATGGCAGTTCTGTCTCATTATCGGCCTCCCTCGGGGCCCCAAAAACTCCAAGTTTACTGCGTCAGCTGGTTTTGCTGTAACACCTTAAAAATGTGCTTATGTTTAAACCAAAACATCAACATGAGAATCTTATTATGTGGTTTCAGGGCCCCTCCACCAAAATCTAAGGTTAATGACTTTGGATTTTGATTACATCCACTACGGATTTGTAGATGTAATCAAATCCGCACTATGCACCAAAGTAGGGTTGCGGTAGCATTAAAGTACAGAAGCAGCACAAATTACTGGGGTTTGGCTCATTTTTGCTACTCTATCAGGTTAACCCAAGTCTAAGAATAATTATATGATATATGATGAGTAAAATGTTCATCTCAAGGCTTCAGAATGGGACTTCACATACAAATGGCTAATCTGAAGGTTGAAGGTTCGATCTCCGGCTGCTCCAGTCTGCATGCCAAATATTGTTGGGCAGGATACTAACCCTAAGTTGTTTTCCGATGCATCCATCGGCGTGTGGATGTGTGGTAGAGTATACTACAGTCCATTTACCTTTAAACGATAACAAACTGAACACATTGTGAAAAAGGTTTAACACGAGCTGGAGAAAGCAGGACAATACAAGTTTTTGTGTCATACCACAGGCTTCTGATTTTATCAAAAGTGTATTATTAACAGGACAAATAAGTATTGGTGTATCATATTCCTATATAATCCTACTTGTTACAAAAAACCCTGAAAAAAGAAAGAATGTAATTCCCCAAAAATGTGAAACTGTTCCTTTCACTTGGCTGGTAGCTCCATAAAGACGTCATAATATGTTCTTTGGAGCTACATGAGTATGTGTGTCTATTCTGTGTTACACAACAAGTGAAAACATTGGTCTACATGTAACTCCTTTTCCTGTCCAATACTCTTTTCCTTCCTTTTCTTTCCTACTCCTGCTCCTATTGTCTTTTTCTTTCCATGTACAATCAAAGCAGTGATTAACTGTTATTACACTCAGTGTGCGAATGTCTGCCAAATACACAACAAATGATTGGGAACTACAGCATGTGAGGGTTCTTTGTTAATCCAGCTGCTCTCTTCTTGGCACTTCCCCACGCTTCTTCAATTTTCCCAAATACTTGTCTAGACAGACGTTTTAACGCTGACAGCCTGGGGCTATGAAATGGTCTTTTTTTTTGTTTAAGCCATTTGTTTTCAAAACCCTTTGGTTTTATGTTAAGTTAAATAGTTGAAATTCCTAAAAGGTACAGCAATAAAAGAGGATATGAGCACCACTCTCATAGAGGAAAACGGACTCACGGACTGTGCAGTTTTCTCCGTAGTAGCCGGTACGAGTGCAGTCACACTCATACTTGTCCTGACCGTACCGGACGCACACACCCCAGTGCTGACAGGGGAAGGAACAGCATGGATTGACTGTGGAAAATAAAGAGAAAAGAAAACTCATGTGAAGATCATTTGGAAATACTTGAACATCAGGTAGGAAGATGTTCAAGTATTTGTACATGTTCAAGTATGCCACCGCTTCATATATGAAGCGGTGGCATGGAAATAAACTGAAAGAGTGATCAAATATTGAAGCGGCACCGGCACTTCCTGTGGTATTCCATACAAAACCATCTGCCTTCGCGCAAGTTCAGACCGCTATTTGAAAATGCCCATGCAAAAAAGGGGAAAAGAATAAAAGAAAGCCTTTGAGCCAGACATGAAATCAGAGACAGATGAAATCTTAGACTGCACTACTGGAAAAAATACCTCTGCAGATTAGGCAAGGTGATCATGTTTAAGTTCTTGTTCCCAGCGCAACTTTTGTTCTTTACAGGAATTTTGTATGAATCACTGACACAATGTGAGAAAAAAGGCACCAGGTGTCACTTCAACATAAATGTGACAGTCTTGGAAATTTGCTCTATACAGCACTAATAGTTGCTCCGGAAAGCATTCTGGAGAAGACCCACATAACTGGGTACCAAGTTTATTGCTGGAGTACTATTGCACATTTTACCCGATAACATAAAGCGTTACATGTGTTACCTCCACCGAGGAGGTTATGCTTTTGGTAGCGTTTTGAGTTTTGGATAAAAGAAGTCTTAAATGAGTTCTGTTCAAACTTTGTAAATGTGTAGAGCGCGCTCATGTTAACAATTTCTTACTGCCATTGTTTATATTGACCACATATAGGCAACACGTTGGAAATGATGTATATGAGGATTATTACAGTTTTTATCCAAACATTTTGTCACATTTGACCTCAGATCTCACTTTTACATTTAGATATTTAAAGAAAGTTCAAGAGAAAGAGAATGAGCTGTCTTCTCACTCAGAAATATACAAGTTTCTCATGTCCAGTTATTTATAAATCATTACCTATTATCCATTACCTACTAACATATGCTTGTAAACATATGTTAAAAAAGAACAAAGAAATCAGAATGAATGAAATTAAAAGTAAATAGAGAGTCAGCTGCCCTGGTGAAGGTTTGTGCTCTCAAAGTGATTCTTGTACTTCTTTAACATGCAAGTTTGACCTTTGGGAAATATGCTCATTCGTACTTTGGCCAATTTTATATTTGCTGATTCAAAAATCAGATATTAGTATGTCTGGTGTTTATTTACACATTTTTGCTATGTCTAAGTCTGCTTGGCTCAGTGGATTGTTGCATTTCAGACTTATGTGATACAGAATGCCCTCTGGTGGAAACTCTGCAATACCAACACTCATAGCATGGCCAAACTGCATTTCTCCCATCTCTTCTTCTTTTCTAACTTTTTTTTTTTTTGCAGGGCATTTTCATTATTTTTTTTAGGGCAGTGAAGGGTTTTCAGACAGGAAAGTGAGGGTAGAGAGCAGGGACACTTAGCAAAAGACCTTAGATTGGAACTGAACCCAGGCCACCATATTAAGTCTTGTGGCATTTGTTTCCTGCTTAACCAGGTGAGCTAAACTGGCACCACACAGTTTAAACTTTCATTTATCAGCTGTTATAAATTCAGATACCCGCAGATTGAAAATAGCTAATATTGGCAGGTAATAGCAGCCTACCCATACAACAACCACTGGTCTACAACAACCATCTTTGATTAGCAATAGCTAGGTGGCTTCAATTAGCCCAAAATACTGAAAACAAGTTGTCCAAAGAAAAGGATAACGAAATCTGCCCTACAAACATCTCTAATGCAAATAATTAAAACTTTATATTTTGCCTCCTCCGTGAATCGCAACCTTATCATGGTGGAGGGGTTTGTGTGTCCCAGGGATCCCAGGGGCTATGTTGTCTGGGGGCTTT